TCAGGAATCCCCCTCTCCAGCTGACTGCCCTAACCACTAAGGAGTCAGGCTTGCTCTCTCAGGCTGAACGATCTTGGAGTATTTTTCTTCTAAGCCAACAGCTTTGAAAAGGAAAGCTGAGATCCCTTCCTGCGTTTGAAGTGGAGTTCAATACTTCAATACTTCCTAAGAGAGTAAGAATGGGGTTTTGAATATTCTCAGCAAAGAAGATATTGAATCTAGATCTCCTGAGCACTAGCTACATGTTCAAATACTGTATAAAGGGGAATATCGACAATTCCAACTGTCACTGGCATCTGCTATTTCCTCACTGTATTTTAAAGAAACACATTCAAATTCATTTTTACAAAATTTCAGTTTCAGAAAGAATTCTGAACGAGGTGTTAATACAGATAAGGGCTCCCGCTATCAGATCTACAGAGCACAGACAGATTGGACAACATATCCGTGCCCTCAGCATTCATTCAGTAACTGATACTGGTAGGTCCCAATCCACAACGTGCTGATGGTTCAGACTGTACCCTTAAGGCAGTAACGCTTCCCATGTTCTGTACTGGAGCCAGCAGAAGTTCAACAGCACAGGCAAAACTGGATGGTGGGGAATCTCGTGCAAACAGGGAATTAGTACTTGATGGGCAATCATTGACTTGAGGGCTCCAAGTTTACAGCAAGGAATGAGTTCCTCCACCAACTCTCTAGTGACTAAGGTGGGGATCTGCCCATAATTCCACTATGCTCCTGTGGTGGGCTGACCGTGGCTGGATACCAGATGCCCACCAAAGCTCCTCCCCTCCTCAACTGGACAGGGGAGAGAAAATATAATAAAAGGCTCGTGGGTGGAGATAAGGACAGAGAGAGATCACTCACCAATTACTGGCACAGGCGAAACAGACTCGATATGTGGAAATTAGTTTGATTTATTATCAATCAAATCAGAGGAGGATGATGAGAAATAAACCAAAATCTTAAAACACCTCCCCCACCCCTCCCTTCTTCCCAGGCTCAACTTCACTCCTGATTTTCTCTACCTCCTCTCCCTGAGTGGCTCAGGGGGAGGACTCCTCACACTCTTCCCCTGCTCCAGCGTGGGGTCCTTCCTATAGGAGTCAGTCCTCCATTAACTTCTCCAACTGAGTCCTTCCCACGGGCCACAGTTCCTCATGAACTGCTCCAGCCTGGGTCCCTTCCATGGGGTGCAGTCCTTCAGGGACAGACTGCTCCAGTGCAGGTCCTCCATGGGGTCACAAGTCCTGCCAGCAAACCTGCTCCAGTGTGGGCTCCTCTCTCCACGGGGCCACAGGTTGTTACACAGTTCCCTCCCCACCCCCTCTTAAATTTGTTATCACAGTGGCATTAGCACCACTGTTGATGGGCTCGGCCTTGGCCAGCAGCGGGTCTGTCCTGGAGCCGGCTGGTATTGGCTGTGTCAGACACAGGGGAAGCTTCTGGCAGCTTCTCCCAGAAGCCACCCCTGTAGCCCACTTGCTACCAAAACCTTGCCACACAAACCCAGTACAGCTCCCTTCTCCAGCTGCCCTTCTTCAGTCAGTGATGCCCCTTGGCAAGAGGCAACAGAGGCAGCAGCCCCGTATGATGGCTGTTTTCTCCTCCAGCTACCTATGGCCTGCAGTGCTGGACATCCAATTATGGAGGATGTGCTTTGGCTTTCTGAACTTCATTCTAAGCATCTAGGGTCTAAAATTAAGCACTGGAGTCTTCCAGATTTGTAAGTGTAAGGCAATTGTAACCAGTAATATTAAATTATATTAAATTGTAAAGATATTTCCACTTCTATATATACAAATGAAAGGAAGAAGAAACAGTTGGCAAATATACAATGCAGATGTAATTCTGTAAATCCAGAGAAAATGAACACTCTAACTCCTTTTTTTTTTCCCTTTAGATGTTGAATCATCTCTTAATGATGTACTCAGTCCCTACCATCTTTGGCAGTGCAGTTCAAGTGTCTTCTGAATTGTAACCTTTTCCCATTTGCTAGCAATTACAGCAGACATTTATATTGATAAAAACAGTATGGTCATTTATTCTCAGAAAAAACAAACTCAGATGAGCTTTCTGAGTAGGGAACCAGTTCAATTTCATATGCAAAATGATTATATATTTCCTGAAGTTAATCACAGAACTTGTTGCTACAATGGAGTTTCCTTCCAGTGTAAAGCTGACAAAATCATGGATACCTTTGGCAAAACGGAAGTCTACGGTTTGTTATGTCATACAACAAGTTATTTGCTGGTCAGCTGTGTCAAATGAATGCAATACTTATTATTAAAAATAGCTCTGTGATACTGATGAAAGTGTTTAATGAATCTCAAAGACAAGCAGAACAGACAATGCTCTGCAGCAGTAAAGCTATACCGATTACCTGCTCAGGGAAAAATTCTTGCAGAAAGGGACCCAGTAGTATGATGCCCAGTCCTTCTGGGTCTAATTTGGTCTTCATGAGGTTTACACTATGAGAAAAACATTGAATACAAGAGTATGAGTAAGACATTTTTATTCTTGCATGACTAAGTTATGCTGTGCTACCACGGTACTGGCTGCCAAGTATAGCAAAACTATTCTATTTTTAATTGTGACAACTGCACCAGAATGGCATGCAAGTTGCCAAAACACGATTATTTTAAAATAAAAGTAATCTGTTATTTTAAATTAAATAAGTGATAATTCTGAAGGACCACCATATTTGGTAAAATAATTTGGAACCCATATAATCTAAAACCAAGTTTACAGCCCAAAAGACATTTTGCTGTCTTGTAAGCATTCTTGAACTTAGATACATAGAACAGTCGTCTTTTAAAAACAGCTCCGTAACTGCCAAACAACCTGTTTTTAAATGGAGATTTGAAAAGCCTCCAAGATTTTTCTAAGTACACTGAAATAAAATTAACAGATACATTTCTTATTTACATCACAACCTTGATAGCAAAGAAGCCAAAACCAATAAATAATGAAAATATTAACAATACTATTCTGAAAGCCTTACTGCATGGATATGGTATAATTTCAGGTCACTACAAATGAATGTCAAATATAACTTTATAGTTCTATTTAAGCAATATATTTCACAGGCATGAGATGGCTTAAACATTTATTTGCAACTGCCTATCCTTTTGCCTAAGTTAGAAGTTGTTCCATATACAAGAATGTCCTCACTGGGTCAAACCAACAGAGCTTCTTGCCCAGTATCCTATTTCTGACATTGGTCAGTAGTGGATGCTTATGATAAGAGTACAACAGAGCAAACATACAGTGATATCCTTAGTTTACCCGCCCCATTTCCAGCAGTCTGCTGCTCAAAGACATCTTCAATGAGAGGCAGTATCTAAACCACAGAGATATATATTTTTTCTTTCCATCCATGCATCCAATCCTATTGGCTTTGAACCCATATATATTTGTGGCATTTAATAAACTCCACTCACAAAATTAAAATTTAACTACGGATTCGGGGAATAAGTGTCTCCTTCTCTTTTGAATCTGTCACCTGATAATTCAGTTTGATCACTCTTCATTTTTGTATTGTGAGAAGCAATTCACAACCATTTTCTATTTATTATGAAACTGATTTTAGAAACCTCTCTTCCATGCCAATGGTTGCCTCTCTCTTCCAGGTTGAACAGTCCTACCCTAGTTCTTCCTCGTAATAATGCCATTCTGTACCTTTGATTAGCCTTGTTGCCTTCCTGATACTTTTCTAGTATGTTCTTTTTTTAGGATGGAGTGAAACCTCATGTGTTTATACAATGGCATAATTCCTAGAAATCCCACTTCATGTGTCTGTCTGTCACTGTGTATCCGTTTAAATCTAAGATCTGTTTCCTGAATGGCAGTATCTAGTTCACAGCCCAACAATATGTATGTAAAATTAGGATTGTTTTATGCCACGTGCAATTAATCTACATTTACTGTATTGCGACTTCTCTGTTACCCTGTCTTCCAATAACATCTCCTGCTCTTCCACATAATTTTTGTAGTATCTTGAGTATATTTCTATCAGCAGCAAATTATCATATTAACCCCTACCTTCAAATCCCCACTGGTGCTATGACAAACTTCACAGACTTAATATAAATTCTTGTAGAATTCATTTAAAGAACTCCCTCCATTAAGAAAAAATGTCATTTTTATCCTTTTATCTACAAGAAAACCTTCCTTCTTATTCCATGTTTACACGTAAAACATTTACATGTGAATTTTCCTCAGACTGGCTTTCAGAAAAGTTCATTTGTCACCTTCTCATTCTGTCTGGTTACTGTCTGGTACCAGGACAGTTAACAGTGGTATGTAACCTAAAATACTTCAGCAATTTCATTCTGATATTTCTTCAGAATTCTGGGGGTTTTATTTATCTTGACATTTTAGACTCTTACTCTGACCACCCATAAAAAGGCTTAAGTGTGGACACCTCCCTGTAATCTTCCCCAGTGAAGATAAGAACTATTCCCTATCATCTTCCCCAGTAAATATGACAAGGAATTCACTACACTTTTCTTACTGACTTTGAATACTTTTTAATATTGGATATCACCTCTCAGAACTACAGATTTGCAAGTCTCCTGGTTCTGATGGGCTTAAACAAAAAATACTATTAACTTTTATTTTATAACTTTGCAGGTTAGTCTTCAGAAGATTTTAACTCTGGTTTATTTTGTATTTAAAAGTAATGTTCCATAAATGTAGCTTCTTCGCTATTTTTTTCATGTAGGCATTACATCTTCCTTTCAGAAGACACAGTCTTAGCTTCTCATAGCTGCCTCTTTTACCACCTAGGCCTCTGACCACCAAGGTCCCTTGTCAGGGGCTGCAGGCAGAAAGTGTCTTTCTAAGCTCTTCTGATTATTGTTGCATGTATTTTATCCTTTTGGCTACCACTTCAGTGTCTTCATTTTTAAGTAGCTTCCTTTCTTGGTCCTAACATAGTACTAGTAGTAGATTATTTGGCTTCTTTTTTTTTCTGCCTCAATACACACAATATGTTATGCAGTTCTTAAAGAGAGTGGCTCTGTTAAGGCCCTTGGAAGAGGAATGATAAAAATTGTAAAACTGAATGTGATATCCTATAAACTATGTTAATTTAATATCTAAAAAGCATTTTCATTACTCAAGTGAACCTAGCACTGAGGATTTGCAAGATACTGGATTTTAATCCTTCTATTGCTCATTCTTACTGCTCTCAAAGTACAAAATTTAAGATATTTCAGTAGCTGTCTGAAACTTGCTCAAATTCTTGAAATGCTGTAACAGAGTTCTAAAAATACTGTGTTTTTAAACAGAAACAAGGCAGATTTAAGTAAAGCTAATTTTGAAAATGGACTTAAAATTATGTAGTAAAATTAAAGTAAGCTATATACTCACTAATGAAATACAAGAACTGTTTAAAAATGCAGAATCATCCTAAGTTTTTAAGTATGGACAGTGTAAAAAATTAAATCAATTAACCAGAAGAGGAGATTTAATAAAATTTGATTGCTGTGAGTTTCAACTGAGGCTTCTTCATTCAGCAAACATCTAACGTTGTTCAATGTTACTGATATTACAGCAAAGCTACCAAAACAAGTGTGCCTATGTGCTTCAGTGTGAAGGCTGCCGTCTGAACTGAGGAGGTTATGAATGATGGGGTGATGATACCAATGGCCTTTGTACCGTTATGGTTGAGAAGTGTGTGGGGACAAAAGCCTCCAGCACTGGTCAAATAGACAGATAGGATGAAATGTTTTAAACCAGCTAAACTTAGATTGACAGATGTACTCAAATGATACCTAAAGAGTGTCAGAAGGTTTTTAGAAACAAATGGACAAAACAAACAAGAGAGTTGGGTTCTCAAATGCACTTACTAAAAGACTAGAAAATTTTACTAAAATCACATGCAATGGCATTCAGTATCAGAATGGCTAATCCACCTTGTTAACACACATCTTTTCCACAAATGCACATCTCTTCTACAAAGGTCAGCACAAGAAAGACATGGACCTGATGGAGCAGGTCCAGAGGAAGGCCACAAAAATGATCAGAGGGCTGGAACACCTCTCCTGTGAAGAAAGGCTGAGAAAGTTGGGGTTGTTCAGCCTGGAGAAGAGAAGGCTCCAGGGGGACCTTACTGCAGCCTTTCAATACTTAAAGGGGGCTGATAAGAAAAATGGAAACAAACTTTTTAGCAGGATCTGTAGCGATAAGACAAGGGGTAATGGTTTTAAACTAAAAGAGGGTGGATTTAGATGTAAGAAAGACATTTTTTACAATGAGGGTGGTGAAACACTGGAACAGGTTGCCTAGATTGGTCATAAAAGCCCTATCCCTGGAAACATTCAAGGTCAGGCTGGAGAGGGCTCTAAGCAACCTCTAGTTGAAGATGTCCCTGCTTACTGCACAGGGGCTGGACTAGATGACCTTTAAAGGTGCCTTCCAACCCAAACCATTCTATGATTCTATGAAGTTTTCCCCTCTATAATTCTTAAACTCTAAGCAGGTCTGACTGTTAACCATCTTGAGATTCTGAGAAGCTTAAAGCCTTGGATCAGATGATCACAAAGAATTTCCATTTAGTTCTTGAACTAAAACATGTAAATAGTACCCTTGGAAGCAATGCCTTTAATTTTACTTAAAAACAATCAACCAACCAACCAACCAGAAAAGCCTGTATGAAATTTGAAATATATTATTTATACTTGTGTTCCACATTAAACAGACAAGACATCTAGAACCAAAACAGAGTAAGTCGTCAAGACAGTGATATTAGACAACATTTTTATTTAAAAGGAGATGTTTCCAGATCAAATATCCCATAGTTTGATCATGGCTCCTCAATATAGCAGGCCTTCTTACTGGCTAATCCCACATCAATTTATACTCGATGTGCTATGCACAATAAAAAGGTCAGGGCTATGCCACAAATGCCCTGAAGGCCAAACAGCCAAATAGAAAATCTACTGAATGTAGAAAGAGGACTTTTGCAGATTTATTCAGGCAGCAGTACAAAGAGGTCAACAGAAAGCTTCCCAGACCTACGAAACTAAGGCTTTTTTTCTTTCCCACCCTTTAAAAAAAAAATCTTTTGCAGATTTTACCACTTATTGACATAATATGAATGCTGGTCCTTTTGTCTTGTTTCTTCTTTGGTTTTAGCTT